GCCGCACCGGGCCGGGCCGGGCCGCAGGGAGTCGGGGCGAGCTCCGCGCCCGGGCGCGGCGAGGCGGGGTCTGATGGGCATGGCAGGCGCTCGCTCCTCTCTCGCTCCCTCGCTCGCTCCCTCACACACGCGCGCGGAGGGAGGCGAAGCCCGCAGCAGCCACTTCCCAACTTTCCAAACTTCCCAGCGCAACTTTTTCCTCTCCTCCCCTGCCCGCGCCTCCTCCTCCTCCTCCTCCTCCCTCCCTCCCCCTTCCCCTGGCCAGCTCCCCGCCAGGCCGCAGCTTCCGCGCGGGGCCGCCAGAGGGCGCCCTGGCCGAGGCCCCGCTCGCCCAACCTCTGTCCGCTCTGCGGTGGACGCGAACTGGCAGGGCAGCGACAGATTTGGGGACAAGGACCAACCTCGCCCAATGCATCTGATGCGCAAGTCCTTGCGAGAGTGAACGGCGAGAGGGTCAGGAGTGGGCAGGCACTCCCAGACTGGCCGGGAAGACAGCACCCAAAAGAATACAGGGAAGCTGGTATTGACAACTTTGTGTTGCGCGCTGTTCCTAACTCTGGCAGGCCCTTAGTAGGTGCTCTGCCAACACCGGTTGAATTAAAACAAAACAACAAAATAATCTTCCTTTTTCTTCCATTTAAACAATCCCCTGCCATCAGTGTCCTTGGACCCACATAGGATCTCTGGGAGGGGCTCTGGGAGGGTAAGGATTCATATCTCAGTTCCTTAGACCATAAGAATTAAAAGAGTCCTTAAAACCAGCCTCCTTCTGTTCCTGAGAGGCAAATGAAACTTAGGGAAGGCCAAGGGGCAAGGCCCAAGCTTCTGGACCATTTCTAGCAAATGGGGAAACTGAGTCACAAGCACCACTGCTTAGTTCTGTTAAACAGGTGTTCACTGACTCTTCCTGTCCTGACAATGGAGGCTGAAGTGTGAATTGGGTAGAAGTGTCAGGAGCCCACAGCCTAGAGAGGGAGACAGATAGGGACAGACATGCAAGGGGGTGATTAAAATACAGGTGAGTGCCCGGAGAGACAGAAGCACAGAGACGTGGCAACAGAGAGGAAGGGCTCCTAACGGAGCCAGCAGGCTCAGGGAAGAGTCCTGGGAGTGGTCTTGAAGGATAAGTCACAGGGAGCTGAGTGAAGGAGGTGCATGAATTCCTCCAGGTGGAAGAAGAGCAGGTGCCAAGGCGCAGAGGTGGGAGAGCGCGGGTGCCTGCAGGCACCACAAGCAGTTAGGCGTGGCTGGGGCAACAGGCGGCCGCAGGAGCAGATGTTGTGTCTCCTGGCCAGGTTGGAGAGTGTGTACTTTTCTGTACTAGATGACGGGGAGTCATTGCCAGATTTGAAGTAGAGGGTGGCTGGGCAGATCTGTGCCTTTAGGAGGCATGGATGGGAGGGGGCAGGGTGGAGGAAGGGAGACAAGTGGGGAGACGGGCGGTGAGTGGAGAGGTCTTCCTGACCCAGCCCAGTGCTCTCCCACTCATGCCTACGGCGCAAGACTGTGCGGCTGGAGAACAGCCACTCTAGAAGGTTGGGAGAGGAAGACCAGCTGGGCTGGAGGGGCAGAAAGGCTTCCAGGGCATGAGACCCAGGCTTTTGGGAGAAACACGGAAAGGAGGGGGACACCAGGGACTGGCAAGTTGAACCACATGAGATTGCCATGTTTGAGGATCCAAAACGAATAAATGTTGGCAATTTCGTATGGTCCAGCCTACTAGGTGTCCCGAGCAGCTTCAGTCTTAGCCATGCACACATCTAGTGACAGACGCACAGCAGGCCAGAGTGCCCGGATGCTGTGAGAGAACAGTGTGGCTCCATGTTTCCCACACACAGAGCTCTGAGAACTGCAGCTGTGACAACAGAGAAGTCTTTTAAAGAGCCTCCACTCACCGCAGCTCCAAAACCCTACACAGCCACCACTCGGCTTGGTAAGGGTGAGGCGAGACGGTGGGAGGAGAATTAATTCCGCAGAGAGGGAGTGTGATGGTCTTCCAGGGAATTAGAAGACACAAAGCAGAGAGTAGATAAGAAAGGATCTGATCAAGATAAAAAGTGACTCATATAATTAAAGTGATGGTATATGTCAATATGCGTATGTGATATTTTAAATATTCTAGGGTGTTTTCCCTAAAATTATAAAAGTTTTGTTGGCTAATTGTCATGAGTGTCAGTTATGATTTCCTCTTCCATGGCCTTATCCTGTGGCTGTGTGACAAGAGCCAAAATAATTAACCTCTGTCTTTTTTTTTTTTTTTTTGGTGAGGAAGATTGGCCCTGAGCTAATATCTGTTGCCAATCTTCCTCTATTTTGTATGTGGGACGCGGCCGCAGCGTGGCTTGATTAGTGGTGTATAGGTCTATGCCGAGGATCCGAACCAATGAACCCTAGGCCGCCGAAGCGGAGTGTGCAAACTTAACCACTATGCCACTGGGCTGGCCCTGTGTGCCTCTCTTTCTTCGTCCAGTTTCCCATCCTCGCTATTTTTCTGAGTGAATGTGTGCAATAACGCTTCAGGATCCCCACTGGTACTATTACTGATATTGTTAATGAGATGCAAGAACAAACAGGTTTTTCCACCCAAGAGAATTGAAAACATATGTCCACACAAAAACTTGTATGCAAATATTGATAGTAGCATTATTCAAAATAGCTAAAAGGAAAAAATAATCCAAATGTTCATCAACAGATGGATATACAAAATGTGATATATACATATGATATGTGGTACGTACAATGAATATTCTTTGGCCATAAAAAAGGAAAGGAGTACTGATGCATGCTAAATATGGATCGATCTCAAAAACATTATGCTAAATAAGAGAAGTCAGTCACAAAAGGACACATGTAATATGATTCTATTTATATGAAATGTCCAGAATCAGCAAATATATAGAGGCAGAGAGTAGATTAGTGTTTCCTTACAGCTAAGAGGAAGGGGGAGACTGGGGGAACATAGCTAAAGGGTGCTGGGTTTCTTTGGGGAGTAATGAAAATATTCTAAAATTGTGGTGATGACTGCACAACTCTGTGAATATATTAAAAACCATTGAATTGTACACTTTAAATGGGTGAATCTTATAGTATGTGAATTATATTTCCATAAAGTTATTGCCAAAAAGAAAAGAACAAGCAACTTGGGCCTCAAGAGAGAATGCTCCCCAAAAACAAGGGTCTTAGTGTTTTCAAACGGCTTTTTCTCCCACCTCGTGTAGTGAGAGGAGCCCCGGATGAGCATCGCTGAGGCCCCAGAGATTCATTGTGCTTCTGCAAGTGTCTCCCTGGTACTTTGGGTGGTTCACTGTCCTCGCTGGAATTCAGTGTCCCTATCATCAGTGTGAACAAGCTCATGGAGCAGGTAACTGGTAAGGGTCTTCTGTACTCAGCACTAGAGTTCCACGGCCACCGCCTGCCCCAGGGCCTTTGGGCAGGACGGGAAGGGGCACAGGGCTCAGAATGCAGGCAGTGGACTCAGACGACCACCTCCTCTCCTGGGACACATCCAGTATACTTTCCTTTTATTGGATTTTAATTAATTTGTTCAATCAGTTGGGTACCAGGACTCTGTGGGCTGTAACAGCCAGGGCAGGAACAGAAGCCTTGTAGCTTGTAACTAAACCAATGAAGTTTGCCTCTTGAGCATATCCAGGAGCCCTGGGTCCTGCCAAAGGGCGTCTCTTGGGGAGGCAGATGAGGGGCTCACCTGTTCTGCCGACCCAAAGGACAAGCTAGCCATTGCCTGGGCCATTGGCCGTGCTGGTGTTTTCAAATGGACCTGGCCTGGCCTGACTTCCAGCTGCAACTCCCACCCCAGTTGTGCCCAATGGTTCCTCCCCAGCCTGAATTGGTTGGAAGCTATTCCTTGATGATGGAAGGATGTGATTGCCTTGAGGGGTGAGAGAGAAGGGAAGAGGATTCTAGGACCATGCAGAGGTCAGCAGTGCTTAAGACAGTCTAGAATGATGGAAAGAACCAGAAAAAAGGTAGACGCTGAAATGATTCAGAGAAGGGCATTCTCTCACAGGATGGGGAAATAAACACACAATTATAGAAATGCAATAAAGGATGCGAATTGCTATACAAGATGGCATTCATGCAAAACAAAAACCTCTACTATGGTCCAGCCCAGGGGAAGAGTAGAGGGCACAAAGAAATCAGCCCAGGGTTTTGTCCTCAGGGAGCTTGCAACCCAGTGAGGGAAAAGAAACAAATAGAGGGAAGAGGGGAGGAGCAACCTTAGGAGAGAAGAAAGTCAGACTTAGGAGAGAAGAGATCAACAAAGGTCTTTGCCAAGAAGGTGATATTTGAGTTGATCTGTAAGGATGAGCAGAATTTGGACAGGGAGGGTGAGGAAAGGAAGGTCATTTCAGAGAGTGGAGTCAGCATGTGCAACGGTGTGGAAGTGTGTTTGGCATGTGGGAGGGGACTGTAGACAATGATGGGGGAGAGCTAGAATGTGAGAACATTGGGGAGGCTCAGAAATAAGACTGCACCAGGAAGGGCCGTGCATGGTCTTGGAAAGCCCTTCCTCTTGCCGTTCAGAGGATGTAAGCTCAGCTTGCTCTGCATAAATTGCAGGTTGAGGGTAGCTAACATGTCAGGTTCCAGATGAGATATGTTCGCAGCCTGATTTGTGCAGCCATCAACAATATAACAATGATATG